AATTGGAGATTTGAAACGGCCGTTGAAAAATTCAAACTTTTTTAACCATAGCTGAGAACAAGTTTGCGTTATCGTATAAAGACAAAAGCTAACATTCTAGTTATTATAGATATATTTTAAGTAACAAAATGTTTTTTTACAGTATTTCCTAAAAAATGTTAATTTTTTTGTCACATTTCGAATTCATGTGCTGTGAGACACGTTAATGGTCTGGGGAATTTGCAATAACTCTGAAAGTTTTCAACCAATATTTATGTTTTATATCTTTCCGAAAAGCTTATTATGTGTACATTGCGATTCCATCACAATACATTGTAAAGTTTATTATTAAGTGGCAAAATTTTAGCAAAAACTGAAAAAAATCGATTTTTTCCCCTTGTAAATGCACTTGGAAACTTTAGTGCCGTTGCGGCACCTGTTAACGTTATCCTATCAGCCTAATTTTTTGTATGACATAGTTTTACAACCCATAGAACAATTCTAGAGGGGGGGACGGGCAAAATTCGCAACTTCGTTTTTTTGGAGCACTCTAGTATATATATATATATAAAAATACAAACTTCACTACCCACTAATATACTGAAAATCTGTGAAAAATATTTTTTACAAGGATATTTAGTACTAGTGAAATATTAAGTGGATTAAAAATTTAGCGCACTACCCTAAACTCTCATATATTATACATATATGTATACACTAAGAGTTTCAAAACAAACGTAACTTGTTTGGTTTAAATTTTAATTCAATCTAAGAGTGCTTTTCCACCAAAATTTAAGTAAATTAAACAACAAAATTGAAATTAAAGTGTATAGAAATAAAACTTTTTATTTCGGTCAATATTTTGAGTAAGAAATCAACATTAATTTCTTAGAAGTTGGCATCATTACCCCATGAGGATTTGACAGTATCGTCATTCCAATCTTCATTACCGCCAACAGCTTCGGCAGCAACTTCTTCAGCCCAGTTGGTGGCTTCTTCGACGGGATGGTCGACAACTTCTTCAACTTTAGGTGCGGGCATGAGTTCTTTAGCGGCAGCTTCTTCCTTCTCAGCCTCCTCGGGATCACGGTAGAAGAACAAATCGACAACAACGGGCCATTCAACACTGCGAGAGATGGTGCCGCGAAGACGTAGAACTTCACGGGACAACAACCACCACATCAAACCAATGGAATGGGGAGATTTGTTGTTGCAGGGAATGGCAATATCGATGTAACGAAGAGGAGAATCGGTATTGGTGAAAGCAATAACGGGGATGTTGACGTATGAAGCTTCCATGATGGGTTGGTGATCGGTCAATGGATCAGTTACAACCAACAAACGGGGTTCACGGAATGCAGATTGAATTTGATTGGTGAAAGCACCAGGAGTGAAACGGCCAGCAATGGGGGTGGTGTCGGTGTACTTAGCGAACTTCAAGACAGCACGTTGGCCAATGGGACGGGAAGAGATGACGAAAACCTGTAATACAAATATAGATTACCCTTTTTAGTTTTCATTTCTTTATAATATTTAGCTTATATTCTTAGTTATTTTGTCAGCTTTGATGTTGGCTTCATTAAATTTCAGACCCGAAAGATTAGTAATAAAATCATCACTATAATTTTAGGTTAATTTTTATTTTTTCGTTTTTCAACTTACATCTTGGGGATGTTCGATGGCGGCAATTGCACGGGCAGCCAAAACCAATTTTTCCCAGGTTTTGCCCAAGTTGATGATGTTGACACCATCGGGACGACGCTTGTAAACGTATTGTTCCATTTGGAAGTTGACATTTTCAGAACCCAAATGGGTAGTGGCTACCAACATCTTGGTAATGTCTTCCTCTTTGAGGGACAAAATATCTAAGCCTCCCGACATTTTAACGTGTTAAGAGTTACGGAACCTGTAAGTAGAAACCGATGAAATATTAGTACAATGTGATTGACTCGACATAACCTCACTAACATCATTACAACACGTGTCCAGAATTTTCTTTTTTAAATGCATATTGCATTCACTGTATTCTTTTAAGTATTCTAAACTCTTTATAAAGTTTAATATTTTTATGAAATTGTAAATTAGAAGTATTCTTGATTTCTTAAATATATTTCTTTGGAAAATAATACACTTACGTTGTGGATGCCACTGGGAGCGATAACAAAATGGACGAGTTGTCATTTTTGTCTTGCGTTCTCGAAGTTTTTCGTTCGTTTTTTTCACACAGTTGTATAAACTGTAGAGTTGCAATTGAACGTATTAAATAATAATTGTTCCCAGGGTTGGTAAATCTTGTACTATTGTACTTTTTTGCAGCGTTGCCACATTAACGAAATCTTTAAATTTAACAAACATTTTTTCGTTAAAAAATGTTCTTTTTATACAAATTTAAATTTTAAAACTTATATTTATATTATTATTTTTATTAAAACCTAACTGAAAACAGTTAGTGCTTTGTTTGTTTCTATATATCAAAATATTCAGTGTTTTAAGTTTTATGTCACAGAAAACTTCAAATGTTAAAAAAATGTTTGTACTGTTCAAAAAGTCTGTAAAGAAGTAGCAAATTATTCAGTTAATTTGGTTCTTTGTAGGGCTTGTTATCCGAGTTCCAAATAACACACCACTTATTATAGTGAACATCTCTGCCTAAATATAAAAAATACATATTTTTACAACCATGAACAAGAACAAAAATTAAAAAACATAAAAATAAAGAAATTCAATTTAAATTTTTAAAAAAATTATAAAAGTGTTCAACATTAATTAAAATATAATGTTTGTATAATAAATAGATGTCGAAATACGCTCAAAAAATATCCTGAACTGTCAACACCGGTCTGAACAGGTAAGTAATTTCGACTCGGTCTGAATTGGCTGTTATTGTAAAATTTGTATAGAATCATGATACAACTGTAACCATGTAATATCACTACGAAAGCCTTGCAATTTTGTATCCAATTACACAGTGAAACAAAACAATCTTGATTCGAAATACTTTGGAAGTTATATCAATTTTCTGATAGGTATTATCGAGTTGAACAATGGTATTTGAAATTAGCAAACTCTATCAGACATGCATATTTCAGCTTTATTATTATACCCGCCAGCAAAAAATGTGGGAGGCATACTTATTTCGTAATTCCGTTTTTAAATATTGGCTAAGATCCAGATATTCAGGGTCCTTATTAAGACGATCTAGCCTTGTCCGTCCATCCGTTGGTTGCAGCACCAATAGAGTCCGAACGGAAGAAGCTATAGAGCTTTTCAAATATTTCTACTTGATGCAGTTTGTTTGCCATCGAAAATGGGCGATAATATCGGCTCACGATTTCACTTAGCCCCCATATAAGGTCCCTTCCAGAAAATAACTTTAACGCTCATAACTGACTTAAAGAAGGAATGTATAGCTATGAAATTCGGCACAAAAGGTTTTATAGAAACTAAAATTTCTCTATCAAATTTTATGAGGATCAGCCCATAATTGACATTAACACTTATAACTGGCTTAAAAATACCAGTATTGCGATGAAATTCGACATAAACAAGTTCTACTAGTATAGCATTGAAATGCGACATGACTAATTTTATAGGACCTATAATATCTCCGTTCGGAGATAGAAGAAGAATGTAAACAAGTAAGTGTATATATAAGATTTGGCATAGCCGAATATAACGATATTCCTTTTTTATTTCGGATCCTATGTACCGTACTATTATATGTATGTACAAACATACATACATATATGAAAAGAAAGGTTTCGTAGATGTACAAACATACATATATGAAAAGAAAGGTTTCGTAGATTGTTTTTTAAATTTAAATTAAAAAAAAAAATATGTTTTGGTTTATTCAGAAAATATACAAAATTGAAGGGTTCTTGTTTTTATTTAAATTCGATTAATGCTGGATTGATAAATGAAAACACCTTTAATTTATTTATGTATACATTTATTGCATTTTTTATTTTTGCTTCAGTATCTACCACAACAATTTTTAATTTATTCCATTTTTAAATTTATTTTAAATTATTTTTTATTATTTGTTTTTTTTTTGTTTTGTTTTATTTAGTTACCATCAATTATTTTTAATTTTTGTATTTTGTTTATTTTTTTAGTTAAAGTGACATTTTTTTATTTATGTTTTGGAACAATGATTTTACATTTAAATTTTATTTATGATTTATATTAAATTATTTAAATGTTGCCTTTTAAATTTATAGCTTTTTAAATTTTTAATGAGGTTTCTTGTTAAACTTAAAAATATCAATTCATGTATATGAAAGTTTTGTTACTTATTTAAAAAACCATGTGGGCAATATAAACATGTTTGGTTGTTACTTACTTTGTTTTTAAATTTATTTGTATAATAACTCAATATTAAATAATCAAGTTTTAAATAATATTTCGATGGTTCCAAATATACAGGGTGTGCCGTGAACCACTTTTTAGGAGGAATACCTCTAAAACTATGCGTTTCAATGTACTAAATCTTTTTGAATTGGATGTCAAAAATTCCGTAATTTTGAGCTTTTCGCGGGAAAAATAATAAAAATGTTTGTTAGTATATTTCTGGTCTGCACAACGACTTTTATTGTATTATAAGTGGTATACAAATTTCAAACATTTTAAAAAATTCTGAAATGGACTTAACCGAATGCCAAACTATTTTTTAAATATTTTTCTATATGACCTAAAAATTACGACAATTTTGACACCCATTTCAATATAATGCGAAAACAATATGCCTCTCCAACCCACTAAAAATCATTTTGTAGACCAAAAATGTCCTACAAAAAATTTAAATTACGTTCCCGCAATGAGCTCAAAATTATGGAATTTTTTAGAGACCCATTTCAAAAAAATCGAAAATATTTTATTTTTCAAAAATTATATTGAACTGAGGACCATTCCAAAAAAAAAAAATATTTTTTATTTTTCTTGTGTTCAGTACATTAATACGCTTCGATTGAGTGGTATTCCTACATGAAATTCTTAAAAAGGCCGTTCCTCGGGACATTCTAATGTACATACACTGTGCAATATGCCAAATATTTCACAAAAATAATCCGTTACAAATCCAATTAATTATTTAAATTGATTTTATGTTCATATGTATGTATGTTGAATTTCATGCATAAATGTGTGTTTTTCAAAAAGAAAATGCATTATGTACTCAGTACTTGGATGGTTTGGAACTATCGAAATAATATTTATTCATTGATGGGGTATTTTACTTTGTTATTAATACATATAGTATATTTGTTTATACAGAACACATTTATTAAAATAAACTTGTTTTTTTTTCTAATTTTGTATTTATATTGGCGACTGTCTTAAATTTAAATAATAATTTTAATAGTTTTTCACATTTTATTTATTTAATTTTTAAATTTTATGTATATTAACTTTTAAAATTACTAACTACTTATATCATGTAATGTTAACTTGTTTTGCTTTTTCTTTCATTTCTCCCTTCGAACATTCTCCCTCCAATTATTAAGTCCTTTAAATAAAAAAGTAAATAACAAATAAAAAAATTAAACACAACAATATTTTCAAATTTCTATTCATTCAAATTTTGCTTGTTTTGTTTGGAATTAAAAACTATATTTGGAATTACTAGCGAAATTCATTAAAATTCATTTTGCAATTGAATTATTTACGTTTTATTTATCACATTTAAACGATTAAGAAATTGATCAAATATTGTTGAAGATAATTAAATTAATGGTTTCATTAATGTGTAGGGGGTATAAAAATTGTTGAACTCAAAACATTTAATGCACTTGACATGTCATGGACTGAAGGTTAGTAAGTAGCAACTATTATTTATATATTATTTATATATCAATTATTTGCATTTTGCAAAAACTGGGTTTCGAATAGTTGATATTTAAAAAAACAACCGTATATAATTTTAATAAAATTAATTATATAGAAATTTTTTAAGAAAAAGTATCAGTATGAAATTTCAAAAGTATGATTTAAAAATTTATGTTTGCTATGCAAAAATATGGCTAGAAACAAAACGGACTTTTGCAATGTCGATGTCGAAGATGTAAAAAACAGTTTTTGAAAAATGTACTTTTTAAAACTTTGAAGTGCTTTAAAAAGGACACAGGATCACGAAATAAAACAAAAAACGCAGTTTCAGAGGTATATCATCCGGTTCGTGTCTAACTAATTTTTTTCTTTTTGTCGAACGGTGTAATGTTTAAATTGTTCTGTTTTCTCAACTTTAATTATTAGTTAATATGTTACGGACCAAAGAATTTGAATTTTGTCCTTAATAAGTTTTAGTTTATAATTCTATAAATTATCTTAATCTATATTTTAAACTAAACTTGAAATTTGTGTTTGAAAACTGTTATTTGTGCAATAGTGTCCCTGAACTTTTTAATATTTCGAGTTGTGTAAATTTTTTACCCCCACAATAAGTTTCTTATTAAAAGGTATTTACAAAATTTTAATATACATACATATGTATGTAAATATCTTAGTTATGCTGACAAAAAAAAAAAAAAAAATAATAATAAAAAAATTATTTAAGTATAAGGAGCACATTATTTGTTTATTTTTATTTAGTTTTTCTTTCTAAAAATAAGGTAATTTAAAATGTTAACCTCAGTGTATGGAATCTATTACATACCCACTTATCAACGGCTGAGACACGTAGGGTTCCAATTATTTCATTCAAGTGCTTTTGCATTTCATGCCGTTAAATATTTTTGGGCTTGCAAACATGTTCATTTACATATTTATGGTAATAAAATATAGGCCCACATTCACACAACTGTACTAGATATTGACTCGTCCTGTCCGCATACCACTACAGGCACTAAGAATATGGAATCATGTCATCTGTTTCCTTGCAAATGCGACCTAAATATTTTGTGTATGTAAATTATGTCTGCTATTTTTTTCTTTGCGTTTAATTTATCGTTTTTAACTATGTATATTAAATAAGTGTTCTCTAATTAAATTTTTAATTTATGAAATTTTCATAAACAATTGGTATTTTTCTTTTTATAATTAAATTATTCGAAAAACAAATAAAAAATGCTAACAAAGACCATATGATTTTTTAAACTATGGCACTCACAAAAGCAATAAAAATATGTATTATTTATGCTTTTTATTTGATCGTAAATGTATTTGTTGTATTTCTTTACAAATTCAATGCAATTCAATTTAATACTTGTCACTCTTGTCATTCTTTTGAAACAACTAAAAATCTCTCGATGTATCAAAAAATAAATGTTGTTGTATAATTTAAATTCTCAAATATATTTTTGAATGTATGTAAGTTGTAATAACTTTTTGTTTTTGGTTTTATAAAAAATACGTGTAACCCTGCTTTATTTTTATCATATTTTGTATTTGTGTTTTCTTACAAAACTAAATTTCACATTAGAAATTATTTATTAGAACAAACAATTTGTACATACATACATATGTATGTACATGAATAATAGGAATGTGGTGGAGTGATAGACAGTCAAATACTTTTGTAATTTTAAAAGGAAATATTTGTTTTTTTTTGTCTTTTCTAATTCCACTGTAAATAAAAATGTAGCTACTATATATTTTGCTCTGAGTTCCGTACTCGTTAGATTTTCAGGTTTTAATGAGAAGAAGTCAAAACTAATCAGAAAAGCACTACCTGAACGATTTATTGTAAAACATTCAAATATGTACCTACATATGTATGTACATTAGGGTGTCCCGTGTACACTCTATTATTATTTTTCGCGGGAAAAATAAATAAAATTTTTGTTAGTGCATTTCTGGTCCGCAAAACAACTTTTAGTGTATTATAAGGGGCATATAATTTCCAAACAAATTTAAAAACTCTGAAATGGACTATACCAAATGTGAAACTATTATTAGGACAATTTTGACACCTATGCATTTTGATAAAAAGTGAAAATATTATGCCTCTTTAACAGAATTTTTGAGACCCATCTAGAACAAATCGAAGATATTTTATTTTTCAAAAATTATACCGAGGTCAGGATTTTCAATCGCTGGTAGGGAACTGAGGACCATTAAAAAATATTTTATATTTTTGTCTTGTTTAGTACATTAATATGCATCGATTGCGAGGTATTCCTACATGGAATTCCTAAAAAGCTGTTTGTTCTTCGGGACACTCTATTATTATGTCATTATTGACATATGTATGTCAATAATGAAAGCAGGTTAGTGCAATTCCATTTTCTAATTTTAGTTAGGGGAGTTTTCAAAATTAATTAAAAATAATTTAAGTTTAATAAATTAAAAAAAGTTGTTTAAAATGGCAGTAATTGAACTGTGTAATTTAAAATATTAGAAATACTATAATAAATTAAAGAATTATTTGTTTGTACGCAGAGAGAGAGAGATTTTTCACACTTAAACTACTTCAATTAATTAAGCATTTGTTGTTTTGTTTTCGGTGAATATTATAAGCAGAAAAAATATAATTTTTAAAATCTAGATTTAGGGTTTTTTGTATGTTTGTATGTGTGTTTTTAAGTGAATCTTTATAAAATGATCACAATATTAATGAGTTAAAAAATGTATAACAACAATTAATTTACGTTCTTAAAGCTAAAAACATTTTAAATTAATTAATATATGCATTAAGTTCTTTTCCAAACCGGGACGCTTGAAAAGCTTCTGATTTCTGTACATTTAAAAATATAATAAATATTATTTTTGGGGACTTTTCTCTTAATTTTTAACTAATAAATAAGGATTTCGTCATGAAAAATTATTGTTATTGAATGTGTTTTTATTAAATAAAAAAGAATAATTAAAAACCTTAAAGATTTCAATAGCGACAATCTTAAAAGCTTTATGAGTTAGTAAGGTAGTATTTTATAGAAAAATTAGTTTGAATGTTATTGAAAACTTTAAAGCTCTTTTTGAAGTTTTCTTGTATACTAAACAACTATTTTGATTTTTTAGTGTATGACAACTGGCGGTCGGTCATTGGTGTGTTTTTATGAGTGTGTAAATTTTTCAATATTTTATCGTTTGATCACACTCTTGAAATACTTAAAACTTTTTTCTCAAGAGCATAGAAGCAAAGTTAACAATGTCCATTTTGTATTTAAGATACGCAAACATTTGTTCTAAATTTTTCAAGTATACATACATACATGTACATAAACATTTGTATGTATAAAGAAAGTTCACAAACTTTTTAATTTGAAATTTTAATTTTAATAAGACTTAAAATATACATAAATAGACAAATATCGCAAGAATTTGTTCAAGTTTATGAAAATGATGGAGATTGCTTAATAAGCTTTTATACTCTTCATTTGTTGTCAATACATATCAAATACCCAGACAATAAATAAACATTTATGTATTTTTATTTGTAATATCCCAGCAAACCGTGGTTTGATATAACAATATAAATAAAAAACATTTATTTTATTGAATTAAATGGAAATTTAGAATTCAAATTTCTATTTGTCATCCAAATATCAAATGAAATTGATGTTTTATTGAGATACCCTATACCACTATAGTGTGTAAATGTTTGTAACGCACAAAAGTATTTGTCCTACACACACTTTAAAGTAAACCAATCGACTTAGAATTGTTTGCTGGGTCAATCAAGTATGTCCGTCCATCTGTCCTTCGTCCGTCCATTAAACCTTGTAATCAATGTACAGGTCGCAATTTTAAATATAATTTAATGAATTTTGTCCCAAGGACGAACCTTATTAATTTTGGTTGTAATTTATTAATTTATTTCATCTAGATGCCATACAACCGGACCCTCCTATTTGGGCTTTTTAGCTCTTAGTTATGTTTAATATATTCGTATCTCCACAAAAAGAGGCACAACTTGGTTTTATACTACCATTGATTGACCCTGCCGAATTTTGTAATGATCCGGCCTCATTTGATCTTAGCCCCCATACAAAGCCTTAAATATCCAAAATTCACTTAAAAGGATAAATGCGGCGAAGAAATTCAGCATAAAAACATACGTTTACATAAAGTAAACGTAAACCAATCAGCAAAATTTTTATTTATCCCAGCCCCCATATAAAAAGTCTTTTAGAGAATTAGTTTTTTTTTTGTCAATCAATTGCTTAAATGTATCGGAGGCAATATGCAACTCAACATAAATGCTCTATTATGAATGATAACTCACATTTTATTCTCACAACTGGTGTAGAGTTTTGTATGGTCGGCCAGGTCCGACTATAATTTCTTACTTGTTTCATTTTGTGTTTGTTGGGATGCAATATGTTTGTATTTTTATAGATCCTAAGCATCTACATATGTATGTATGTAGTACATGTATAAGTATTTGTTGACTTTTGGTTTCTTTTTTTGTTGGCTTTTATACTCTCCATCATTGCTGTTGGTCAAAAGTATTTTTTTCAATGTGTTGGACGATTATTGTGTAAAATTATTCTACATTATTTTCGGTGGCCAAATGGTCCCCGAATTTAAATAAATTAGATGAAAAGATTTATGAAGTTGTTGGTTGGAAATTGGTTTACCAAAGTCATTGTATTCACAAACAAGTCTATTTGTTTTTCTTTTGTTATGGATATTGACAATAAATGATTTGTTTTGAGTATCAGTAGTGGAGGATATAAAATGCTCGACTTGGCCGAGCAGTATCTATTGTTAAATATGTATTACTTATTTAATGTTGGGCTTTTGTTTTCATTGTTAACTTACAAATATGGCACACAAAATGTTGCTTGATTTTTTTCTTTTTTGTTTTTTTTTTGTTTTTTTTTTATAGATACAGACTTTTTTTCTGCATTTGTTGTTAAAACCCATAAGGTTTTTCTTGTTGTCCTTAAAAACGTTTAGCTCTTTCCAATTTTGTTGGTGTTGTTGCTGCGAACAGAAGTTATGGTTAACTATGTGTTGGATTGACTTTTTTCAGCATTTAAGATTTTCTATTTATATTTTGAACTTTACAGCACGGTTTCCATTTCCGCTATTTCCGTTTTATAGGACCTAATATTATTGTAAAAAGAAATGGGGCGAGTGGAGGTGGAAAAAAATGTTATTAGATTTATTTTAATTAACTGATATAATTATTTAATACATAAATGCAAATATAATGTATATTGTTAAGTCATCTATGTGTGTGATTGATGATGTGTGAAACATGTATTTATTTTTTATTTTTGGCATTGGGACATCAAATGGGTCATTGTCGCCAGTTATTCAATTTTTTCTAGATCTCATCAATCAATTTAGTTTTTTGTTTTCTATTTTATTCTATAATAAAAAGGAATATGTCCCAATTCTACCATAAAATATTACAAAAGAAGTAAAATTAAGGTGTATGTATGTCTAAAATATATCAACCCATAAATTGATGGTAGTTTTAAGTGGCCACATAGTAGGATAAGTTCAGTAGTGAGTAAGTTTGAAATATTAACTAATGTACTATGTATTTCAATGAATAACAATTACTCCCTATTAATTACACTAGTTTACAATGATTTTGCTCATGATATAAAACTTATATGGATTTTTTATTTAGGCTAAGACCAGAAAAAATATTAAAAAAATTAGGACGTAAAATTTTTGAATTATTTATTAAGAAAAAATTGTCAATATTATTTTCGAAATTTATGTTTTTTAATAAAAAAATACTAAAAAAAAATAATTCGTAAAAACTACTAAAGGAAGATGCAAAATTAAAACCTCTTTATAACAAAATTTTGACGTATAGAAAAAAATATAAAAATTAAAAATATATGTTTCATTTCATGAACAAACAAAAAAAGTTTGTAAGCTAGTGTTATGTAAATTATTAAAATTGTTTTTAAAATAAAAAGAACGGAATTTATCTTAATTGGAAAATCTTTTCAAAATATTTTTCATAAAATATACATGTCAGTAAATATGAAATATATTAGGGTATTCATATATTTGATTTTTTTGTTCTATGTTTAATTTTTTGTAAAACATAACTTAAAAGTAAAAAAATCAATATTTTTTGGTTTCATATAACTACATAATTATTTTTTTGTTAGAAAAAAGATTTATGCCTATTTCATAATAAACGCTTTTATTAAATAGACAGCTATTTCCCAGCAATAAATGTTTAAGGCCTGCTCTCTGTTTGCACTTGTTGTGAAAGATTACATGATTTTTATATATGATTTCTCGCATAGAGGCTCTGCTTAAGGAATCCAAAATGTTTATATTTCACACTGTTGAAATTGTGTTGATTTCATTGAATTAATATTATTTTTCAACACTGAACATTGATTAAAATTTTAAAAGATTCAAAATTAAATTATTTTTAAGCTGTTGAAAAGCAGACTTCTACACAACAAACAATAATTGCTGAATATATGTATGTACATATGCATTCCAAAATCTTTTTTGAAAGGCAATCATTTTAAGATGCAATAGAGGAAGTAGTTAACGTTATTGATCTTAATCAAGAATACTTTTGCTCGGTTAAAGAAACACAAATTTATTTTATTGATAGAAATATCGCACCATATGTATTACAGAGTTTGCCAAATTTTCGCGAATTTTAATTTTAAGCACAAATGCTTATTAGTTGTTTTATTAAGGTTTATTTACAAAATATTTTATTCCTATTTTAGTTCTATCAATCTACTTATGTCGCAAAGTTCTGAAAGTCATAAAAACGCTATCTTGAAAAATTTTATAATACAAATGAATACATCTATAGATTTATTCAAAAATACATACTATATATGAATACATACATACATACAAATACTTATGTATAAACGTACGGACTTAAGTATTTATCTAATTACATATAAAAATAAATAAATAAATAAATGACAAAAACGAAAGTTTAGTCAGATACTTGCTTGGATATTTTTGGTGGGCTGGCTTAAAACAACAAACAAGTGAATTGACGGAAATTTGTGAGTGTGAGTGTGCCAAAATTCGTAATCAAGATAAAAGTAATTTAATGTAAATCATCATTATTATAATAATCATATTATCACTACATTAATATACAAACATACGTAGGTACACAATATTTTGTCTACAATAAACAATAGATAAATATGCACACGTATGTATGTATGTATGTGTGTATATTCGAGCATACATACATGTGCATATGTCTAAATATTTAAAGGAAATATGTATATAGGAACACCCAACGTTATAATTATAATGTCACTAAAAATGTTATTGATTTACATAAGTAATAATTAAGATTATTCATCCCAATAGTATGAACGTGGAATGACTTTTACAAAATACTTCTTGTAAACATTTAAGTACCATTATTACGATTATAATTATCATGTCCATTCATATACATACATATGTATCTTTTGTGATTATTGTGTAATCTACATATTCGACTCAAACAATTTTAAAGGGACTATATTCTTATTTCGTTGGGTGTATCTAGGAGTGAGATAAAATAATATATAAAATAGTGGTGCACATGAGGAAATATTTACATTGTTTATTTTAAGGAAACATGGTAATAAAATTGGAATTGAATATGTGAAATAGATAAACGTACATTTTACAACTCGTATCCATAAGTATGTATGCGTGAAGTCAATATAAACATTGATAGACATACATTAGGGTGGCCCTAAAATGGAAGTTGATTATGTTCCCGCTGTGCCCAAATTCCAAAATACCATTTATCAAAATTATTGTCCTGGCGTCAATATTTGGTGAGCTGGATAATATATTAATATTTCTTACAAAGAAAATTTACGCAATTTTGCATCACATGAAAGGTCTTCGAAAGGCGCTTTCAATTCGATATCAATCATTTATGTGCCATGTTAGATTGGTTGTAATAAATGAAACACAATGCCATTTTTTTTAACAACAACAGTTTTAATTATAATTAGTTTTTGTCTCTCCTGTAATATTTTAAAAAGTGTTGTTACGCCACATTGAAATAAAGCTTTGCTAAAATTTAAAACATGTATTTTTTTCAATATTTTTTAACTAGCCCAAAAAGTTGGTGATATACCAGCGCCTCTCAAAGATTTTTCGTAAAATACAATTTTTTATGTCATTATTTAACCTTTATATCCTTTGACCCAGCTCACCCAATTTTGATCCCAGAATTTTGGATCCCAGCTTCCACTTTCTGTGGAAATATCAGTACCTAAATTTTTCTAATAGAAGCAGGGCCAACCTAATATATGTATATGCATACGTACACATACGTTCCTAAAGTTAATAAATACATACATATGTATGTATGTACATTACATACGAGTGTCTCGTGGAACTGTCTTTTTAAGAATATTATGTAGGAATACCTCTCAAATGATGCGTAATAACGTATCTAACACGAGAAAAATAAAGAGTATTTTTTGAAAGGGCCTCAGTTCCGTACCAGCGATTGAAAATTTTGGTTTCAGTATAATATTTTTCAAATGTTTATTTTTTTATTTTTCTTGTATTTATTACATTAATACGCATCGTTTGAGAGGTATTCCAACAAAAATGTTGTCCACGGGACACCCTAATGTACATATGCATGAAGTTACATACATATTTATATTCGTACATAAATATATGTACAATATAGAGATGTGTATAGAAGTAAAATTAATAAATTTAAGAAAGAGATTTTTACATTAGTTGGGTTTTTGTGACATTTTCTAATTAGTTCTTAAGTTATTAGGATTGCACGTTAATGGTGGAAAGGATCTATATTATCTTTTGAAAAGTTATCAAAGACGTTGGTTTGTTCGTTGGTTAAAAAGCAAACATGCTAGGTTTTGAAATATAGTGTAAAATTATGGATTGATTGGTTGGGATGGGTTGGTTCATGATAGCATGCGTGAAGGGACTAGAAAACGAAAAACTTACCACCTGTATAAATCTTGTGCGCTTGCTGCTAAACTCAAATTTCCCATCAAAGGAGGTCGTTCTTTGAGATGATGATGATTTAATAAATCCGATGATGACGCAAGTCTGTATATATATATGTTATTATCTGGGTAGAGTTACATATAAACTTTCAATATAATGTAAAGTGATATTTACCTTAATTGAGGAGCTTTTATACCATGTTTATCCATCGTCTTCTCCAGTTGCCGAACTCTCAAACGAGTCATGTCCAGTTCGTGTTTAACTTTCCACAAGTGCGTGTCACAAATGGGATCGTTACATCGATGTTTTTTAAGTATTTCGGTAGCCTCATAGACAGCACCACGAAATGTCAACGATTTTCCCATTGAGAGTGATATGAGAGCACAACAGTGACCTCCGTCTTTTTTCGCAATACGTTTACGTATGTATTTAAAGTAGACATGTTCGAGCAGGAGTAACAGTGCCGCTAATAAAATGCCAGCCATTAATAGTAGAAATGCTGACAAGAACTGTTCTAAGGCGAGAGGGTCAGACGATTTGTGCTCTTGTTTGCCAGGTCTGCATGTACCAGTCATCCAATAACGACGCAAACGTTCTAAATCTCCATTAGCGCGAAATTCTAGCAAACGTTTGTTAAACATTTGGACGTATTTTGAATTGCGGCTAAAAGCCAAACCATAACCTATAAACACCGTAACAGTAAGGAGAATACAAAAAAAGAAAAACAAACAATTGTTAAATTAAATTATTTAATTTACAAAAATTGCTGACTCATTACCTGTCATGGCGTACCAGCTACCAACAGTCATCAAACGACAGTCTTCATCTTGCGCCACCAGATAATCCAATACAGTGCCGTCATAAATAAATGAATCCAAGTTACCGTTCAAAACAGCCGCAACGCCATCTGCCACGCTTGATTTGTTGTATCTAAACAAAATAATGATGATCCGGCAAAATAAGAAACGAGACAAAAATGTAAAAAGAACAATTTTATTTAGTTTTTATTTATATGTTGTTATTGTTGTTGATTTATTTGGTCATGCAGAAATGTAAGGATTATAAATGTTTAGAAATGTGTAGCAATAAAATGTGATGACCTACTGTCTCATATAGTAATGCATTTCCTTGTAGTATTTATTGATTGTGGAGTCTGTGTGACTGTAAGGAATAGTGCCAAATTTAAAGGATGGCTTGTGCGAGTAGGGGTGAACCAAACGGCTGTCATTTAAACCACTGAATTCATGAAATTCCTCCCTTAAATGAAAGAAACATGTTAATAACTGGTTGGCAAATGCGATGTATTCAAGAGAAAAGGTACCTCGTTATCATGAAGGCAGCCAAGTTGGCAGTATATATGGCAAGAAAGACTACGGCAAACAGAGCCCAGACATTGGTCATGAAGCGGGAGGTGAAACCTCTTGGCGAGTCTACATGTACGGCGGCTTGGAAGAGGACTGCCCATACTAGCCAATAAGTGCGAAACAAGGAGAATCGGTATGGAGTGACGTTGGTATTCTGAAGATAGAGTTTCATATCGTAACCACTGGGTGAAAGCCATTCGAAAAGAAAGATCATGAAGGTGGCAGCTTGTATTGCGACAATGCCAACCAACATCCAGGAAGCAGTGTCGAAAGGTTCTAAGAAAGCAGTGGGGGATATAATACCGGTACGTTTTGCCACAACAATGGCAATGCCCGTTTCCATGAAGGGTTCGCTAAAATCCACCACAGCTTCACGTTCTGTATTGATCATTAGTGAGGTCAATACCATATCGGTTTTACGATTTACCAATTCGGCAATTAAACCATTCCATTTACCATTCTCAAGTGTACCCCATTTACCATCTTCAACCCGTACTAGTTCGTATGTGAACCCTAGCTCCTCGGCAAATTTCTCTAAAAGATCAATGCAAAAACCACTACAGCACTGGTAGAAAGATTCGTTGCGATGAGCCTGCCCCACATCGATGTCAGCCATCTCGTGATCAGCTGCCACTCGACATAGGACACCACGATCCATAAGACATTTGCCACTAACTGGGTCCGCAGGCGAGAGATTGATATAGGGTGCTTCTTCGAGGAATGTAATTTTTAAATGGAACTTTTCCGGAACACCCTGTGGTGGAGCATGTGAATTGCCAGGCCACGCTATGTCGCGAATATCAAGTTTTTGTGTTTCCCAAGACTTCCATACACCGATCTGTAAAATACCACAGAAAATTTGTCTATTGAAATCAACTGAGGAATCTAGAAAATATGCAACACTCACCTCCTCCCATACTAAGTTTTTATTGTTGGCACCAGGACGAAGATTCATAATTTTTAGTTCTGCTGACTTGAGGTCACCATCGGCTGTAAACTCAATATTTGGTTTGTTCAAGTCTCCATCTATCGACACATTTCGTAAATATTTAAAAAACCTTCGGAAAGCAAAGAATTAATAGTCAATCACCGTTAAGGGAAACAATTGGTTATTTGTACTTACAATTCTCCATTATCCCAACGACCTCTGCCCTCGTCTTCACATGACAATGACTGAGTGTTTAATTTCTTTCCATGATTTGCTGGATCTGATACATAGGCTTCTACGCCATAGCCATAGATCTTAATTGCATTCGATATTTCATTCATTAAAGCTGCGCTGCTTGTGTCGAAATGAACACCCAGCATGCCCACAGGGAATTGGGGATGAGCATCCTTTTTTTCTATTACTGATTGACTGACAACCCACACATAGTTTTCGCCAGTTAACTTCAGATCTTCAGCAGCTCTAAGAATAGTGATTGCTTCACTTTGCGTGGCATAGAGGAGCATTACTCTTGCCTCGCTATTAACAAGTTCCATCAAGTCACTAGTACGCGTTACAACAATTGAATTGAGGATGGTAAATTTAAAATGATCTTGCATTTCAGCTACACGCTCCCTTACAGCTTGAACAAAATCATCATGACCGGCTATCTGGGAGGTGACTACCGAAAACTGGTGCCATTTGTAACGTTCTAATATGCTCAACATAGCTGCACTTTGATGTTCTATACTTGGAGCTAACTGAAGTTGAAGTGTCGATTGTGAAGCACGCCTCTCCAGACCCGAATTATCCGCATTCCACGATATCACCGGTATACCCAAATAACCAGCAAGTTGTAAAAAATATTGTGCCGACGCCGTGCTATGACCAAACTGTTCATTATTCATCATGTATAAAATGGCAGAGACATTGAACTGCAAAAACTCTTTGCACAGTGTACTCAGGATTGCTAGTTCACAACAAATGGAGAAAAGAAGGAAATATTTTAAAATTAATATTAGTAACAAAAACATATCGATTTTTTTAGAGAATGTCAACAAATATTGACGATGTATTCCACAGACAGATAATGGAAAAAAACTCTTGTTTAACATCTAAGTTACATCTTTGACACACTTCCTAATACTTTAACTTTTTTAATTTTATTTTGTTGGGATTTTGTGAAATCTCGCTTATCCGTCTTTTAAACAAAAGACTAAAATGGTTCAAATTTAAATTGTTGATAAAGTTTTAATTGGCAAAAATAATGACAAAACATCTTTATAATTTTTATTTATACATTTTTAATATTGCATTAGACATCTTCTGTAAAATGTTATTTTACTCCTTGGAAAACAATATTTTATGAAATGTAAAAAGAATTTCTTAAAAAATACAATGTATGTATGTACGAAAAAAAAATTTATAAAGAACGAAAATTTAATTAACCGTTCTTTAACATTAACTTTGAAATTAATTAAAAAATTAAATGAATTTTGCTTCGTCAGCCGTTTTTTCCCGCCTTTGTTGCTTCTGCAGAATTTCGAAAGACAAGTGGATGTTGCCTTTCGCAACCAACAATGTAAAATCCTTACAATTAGTTCTATCAAATTAAATATCTACATATAAACATACACACAGACAGACATACAAAGAGACTGACATTTACAAATATATATACGCACATTCTTGAGTTAAATACAAAAGGACTCAAATAATACTGACAGCATTTTGAGGCATGAAGATTAAGAGTAGAGTTTTAAGAAAGATATGGTAGACAATTAACAATACTTTTTGTTTCTATTAACAATACCACAATATCAATATCGGTATTCAGGAAGAAAATACGATTACTTATTTTAGACTATATTATTTAGACATTTTTGTGTAGTTAGGCCCTTCTTCATTGATATTATTGTTATACATACTTGTACCTATTTAAGGCACAACATTTTATGATAAAATACTTAATAAATTGAGAACTTCAATCATACATACATCAGGTGCGGATCCACGGAAGAAGGGGTTTGGGGGGGTTGGTATATTTTTTTATCGAAAATTTTCTACAAAAAGAAACCTTTTATTGCTAATTTTATATTAAAAGAAAATTTTGATCTAACATTTTTTTTAAAGAAAATGTTTATCAAACATTTTCTATCGGAAAATTTCTTTTAATAAAAAAATTATCTTTAAAAAGTTTCTTTTAGTTGAAAATTTTTGAGAAATAAGTTTTCTTTAAAAGAAATTTTTTATTGAAAATTGTCTGTTAAAAGCTTTAACTGAAAATTTTTTCTCTTTTTTAATAGAAAAATTTCAATGAGACCTGAACTAGAACAGAACTAGAAAAGACTAGAACTAGAACAGAACTAGAACAGAACTAGAATTGAACCAAAACTGAACTAGAACTGAACTAGAATTGAACTAGAACTGAAAAAACTGTTATTTTCAATCTCAAATTCGAAAATGATCAAGATCTGAACTAGAACTGAAAAAACTGCTGTTATTTTCAATTTCAAATTCGAAAATGATCAAGTGAGATTTTTCACTTAATATTCACAAGGAAATGAATTAAAAATTTTAAAAGTTTTAATTTAAAAAAACTATTACATTATTATTTCTCGCCTTTTTATTTAAAATAATAAAAATAAATTAGTTATTCGCATTGTCATTTGTTCTGAATTTCAAATAAAAAAACCTTACTTTTTAATGTTTTTTCGAAATTTAGATGAAACATTTCAATACCAATTGCTCTTTTCTGAATTTCAAATGAAAAATGTATTTTTAATTAATTATGTAATTATGTAATTGAATTCAAAATGAAAAATTTCATTTTTAGTTGTTCTTTTCCTAATTCAAAATAAAAATCATTTAAAATGAATGCCCATGATAAAAATATTATTTTGACAATTTTACAAGTTTTTCGAACAGAAGTACAAATTTTCAAAGATCTTTATTTTAGAAGCTTTTTAAACTTCAAGTTTTCCAATTTTGGAACAGATTACAGCCTATTTGGGAAACGGGAAGCTTTTATTTAACTAACAAGTTGGATTGTTAAAAATTCGTAATTGAATTTTAAAAATTTTGTTATTTCAGTTACAAATTTTTAACAATATGTACTAAAAAACTAACTGTAAAGTTCGAATAATCGAACATAATTTCGCATTGTAATCAAGTGTCTTATTCATTTTAACAAGGATTGGTCCAAAATTCAGCTACAAACTTTGAACGCTAGTTAAATTAAAGCTGGTAAAAGGCCATTCGTTAAAAACCATAAAGACCAAATTTCGCCTTCAGACGCTTGAGCTGTATCCGCGCCTGATACATACATATGTATGTACGTATTTGGTACAATTTGAAAGATTTCTACTGTGTACAATCGCATGTTAAACACAAAATGTACACATGTATACAATCCTATATACATACATTAGCCGTATTTATGTATGTATGTTTAGGTGTGAGTTAATGGAAGTGTCTTTAGTATTGGAGTGACACCACCTTTTTAACATCCATTAATTTTATTTAGGAATATACTCACAACATTCAATTGCTTTCAACTCGAAAATGTTATCACAAGTTAACACCAACTTTTAAAAGTCTATATTGTACATGTTTATGTGTTGAAGGAACAATTGCTCTACTCTTTCCATCCTCATTCACTATCCCCGGGTAACAAAACCTCTCTATGTTGACAATATATAGAAAAACTTTTCAACGGTTGAATTTTCTCTAGACTTTTTTGTTCGCATTATGCCTTCATATAATAACTCAACATAAATAGAGCTCAACCCCATCCAAAATCTTTACAAACAAAACCGATATAAACATCAGTGGACAATATGTTAGTAGTAATAAAACACTACACCAACAATATTTTTGATATTATGTATTAAATGAGCAGAAAAAAATTATAACTGCGAAATTTAAATTGGTAAATAAAACTTGGTATAGGGCTTAGCAGGATATTGTAGGTGAAAGGTAACACATATCAGTTTTTTCTCTACTGATTTTAATGATAATGTATTTCTGAATAGGTAAATTTTATTTTCACATTGTTCGACTACTTTTTTGCTCCCGACTGTAAGAAGCAATATCCAGGGTATTACAATTTTGTTCGATTTTATTTTTTCGTATTCTCTTTTTTCAAATACATATTGTAGTAAACACACATCAATAAATTTCAAGTGTTTGTGGATTGAGTATAAAACCACATTTATTCACATTTTCACATGAAAACAAGTTAGAGTAATATAATATTTTAGTTCGAAACGAATTTGTTACACCTTCAACCTTTAATGCAATTTTCGTTAAAAGGAAATGTGTTTTCATTATTTAATATAAATTTTATGTTATATGTATTGAAAATAAGCATACAAATATAAATCGTACTAGGACATAATTAATCTTTGGAAATAATGTTTTTTTGTATTAAATATAAAATTTTTATTAATATAACATCCCCTTTGACTTTTAATAATAGAACTATGCGTTACATATATTATAAAGAAATTTTTATATGATTTGGGTTGGTAAACAGAACAGGTTTCTACAAATCCTGGAATTCGTTATTTAAAACATATTAATCGCCTTTTGCATGGATATTTAAATTTCTTTAGTATTCTGTAGGACAATTGATTAAACGAAAGATAAACCAAGTTATCAGAAGTAAAAGTGTAATATTCGAATAAAATATATTTTCTTATAAATATCTTACCGTTCAACTCGCTATCGACCTAAAAAACTCTTGTATTAGGACTTTAGATTATATACGGACATAAGATGTGCAAGTCTGTTTCTTTTTTCCAAATGTGATTAAGATGAACTTATTAGTGATTTGGGTGGATGAAAGAGTTTCGGGTTTTAAACACATTTGTGACTTTTGAAACAACGTTTGGCAATAAATCAAATAATAAAGGCGAAAACTTTTAAAATTTTCTTTCAAGTATGTTGTGTAAATTGAGAGAAATGTTAAAAGACAAACTAACAGGCCAACAGCAAAAGAAAAAAGTTATATAAACTTATTCCATAGTTGGAGTCCTGTTGCCAGGATATATATAAATTTATATATGTTTTACTCGTATATTAAATATATAAAGTTAATATTAAACTTTATTTTGCAATTAATACATATGTATGAATGTATGTATGTATATATGGTAGTCACTATTCAAGTATGTAGGTGTTTGTGTGTATTCATTCGATATTTGGAAGATATTTTGTCAAGTCTCAGCCTTCTCTTCCAGATTGAAAAACTTTTTATATTTCTTTATCAAATTTATAAAAATTCATGTGAATGTCTTAGAAGTGTCTTACATACACATTTGTCAGCTGAACTAGCAAAATCTCAAGGAAGTGGTTATATTAAAGTCATAAAGGTAATTAATTAACTTCCTGTAATAGTTTCCTTAATATAGATGATAAATACATAATGATTACATCATTAAAATGAACTTTCTAAGTATTTACATGTTCAAATGTACATACATTTGTACGTGTTAATATCAGTAGCATTAAAATTTTAATTTAAAGTTTATAGAAGATGTGTAACCAAATAGTGTTCTTATTGAATTGGGCATTCGATTCATTACGTTTTTAAGATTGATGCCAATTTATTTACATTATTATTTAGTAAAGAATTGAATAAAAAAAATTTCCATACAAAAATCAGGGTGATATTTATAATAGGGCTTAATTAACAAAATATTAATTAAAAAAATATATATATTTTTGTCCAATTTTTAAACCAGATAGATAGATAGATGAAACCCTTTCATGAGGGGAACTTTGTGTGGTCTGTTATAGACCAATCCTCATCAAATTCGGAGGTGGCTTTATATATGAGGAGAAGGTTTAATTATGGACCCATCTTCATTAAATTTTGTAGAGCCATTTTCATTCATACAATACTTCTTTTGTCAAAATTCTTCGCTATATTGTTTTTTTAAGTCAGTAATAAGCGTTAAAGCAATT